CCCAGTACAAATCCACCATTGTACAAGCCGTGCTCCCGCAACATTTCAACGGCGCCGCGCGCGGTCCGCGCGATTGAGCAGTCCGTGCAGTCAGCGAATCAACAATACTTACCAGGGAAGTACCCATAGTCGAAATCGGCTTCTCCACACGAAATGCACACCATTATGGAGAGCATAAAATCCTAACTCCTAAACTGTCTTCGCTATCTGCCAAGCGCCTCTAGACGCTGAGTTATGAACGTTTTTTGTCTTACAAAATCGAAGGCACAGCTTCAACGAATTCGTCAAAGATTGCTCAATTATCCAGCTTTATATAGTCGACACTCTATGCATAAGCCTCTTGTAATATACTGGTTCTCAGCACTTCTTTACTTGAGCGCTGAAACACCGTAACGATTGGTTTCACCTAAATCTTGCCATCATATTCAGCTCCAGAAAACACCCATGAGTCAGCTTATAAAAGCCTTGGTAGAAAACAAAGATGTTGTGGAATCAGCGTTTGATTCTCTTCAGAGTGGTACTACCCTATTTTCAGGGTGTAAGCGCAGGGGATTTTTTTCTGAAATCGACTAGCTTGAGCATGCCAAAGGACTTCGCTACCAAAGGACCATATACTGTAATAGTGTTTATTGCATAAGAGCGTGCTGCATAAGGTTCGCTTTCTGAAACACGATCGAACGGCTGAGCAGCTCGCTCAAAAATTTGAAAAGTGCGGCTTATAAGTCTGAAAATAGGGTAATTCCATGTGGAAAGCCGATTTCGACTTTGGGTCCTTCCCTGATTAGTGCGTGACCAACCATAGTGGTTCAGGGACCCAGTGCTTCATCCGTCAAGTTGCTGGACCTTATCATAATATTGGTGCAGATTTCGTTGACATGACCGATGTAGGCAACGTCAAGAGGGCTTTAAAACCTACTACCAAGGTATTTTGTATTTTTCTGCAATTCTAGAGACGAAAATTTGAGATACGATTTAGTTGATTTGGGTGGAAACTCCAACAAATCCTCTACTCAAAATTATTGATATTGAATCATTGGTGCGCACCGTTAAGGAGAAAAGACCTCAAGCTATCGTGGTTGTCGACAATACATTCATGACCCCTTACTTCCAGGCTAGCATTCATTACTCTTTTCTTTTCTTTGAAAAAAATATGTTTATGCCAAAAATTTATGATATTATGATCTCCGCTTCGTTTTTGTCCGCATTGCAAATCCTCTGCAAACCATAATAAATCAAGAATTTAGCGACCTCTGAGCTTGGGAGCTGATGTCGTTGTACATTCATGTACGAAGTACATAAATGGACATTCTGATGTTGTCATGGGAGCAGCTATCACTAATAACGAAGACATCCACGAACATCTACTTTTCCAGCAGGGAGGTAAGTAAGACGTGGATGAAATTTTCGTTAGAGATATTCTGATTTTCAGCTGTTGGTGCTATACCATCGCCTTTCGATTGCTTCCTTTGTAATCGAGGCTTGAAAACGTTGCACGTCAGGATGCGAAAACACTATGAGAATGCTCTAGCCGTAGCCAAATTTCTCGAGGACCATAAA